ACTTATGGGAATGTTGCTAATAATAATTCAAAGTGGAATGAATATGGTCCTATATATGAGGACACTGATACATTGTAATTTTGTTATAATCGTTTTTATTGTTTATTAAAAATGATTATTTTTATGATTAATCATTGAAGTTTAGGGTGTGGCTCATGCTCTTAACGCCCACGAATTTGCTTTGGCAATTAGCTATGTTCCTGTTTCTCAAGCTGTTTCTTCTCTGCTCTACAATTAGTAGTAAAATTGCACTTGCTAATGTCTGCTCTCGTTCTCTTCCTTCACCAAATATTACCGGTGGAGCATTCAGTGGTGGAGTACAATTACTCATTCCTTCATGGACCTTCTCTTGTCAAGGAGTTATTGATGATTGGTTTGCTCATGTCTTTGGTAATACATCAGTTACTGTTGGGAGTGGAATTGAGTATCAAATATTAAAACCAGATCCTGTTAAGAGTAATGTCTACAGTCTTGTATATGGTAATATGTATGGAGGAGGTGGTGAATCAGCTACTGGCAGTAGAATAGAAATTGATGTAGTAGCATCACCTAATCAAGCACTTCTTCCAGTACGTCCAGGCTATATAGTAGGAGTATACATTGATTCAAATGCATTTAATCAGTTGAGTCTAATATATGACAACACAGCAGAAGATATTGATATTTATTATTGGGAGAATCTAACAGGGCGAATGTGTGATCTTTCTTTATGTGATGCCAAAGTGATGAGAGGAGTAAGACCATTAATTGGTTGGATATTCAGTAAGTGAACATTATGCTCTTGATTAATTGTTTGTATTTGTAGTTAATATTACTAGTATGGGTATCTTATTTTCTCAAGAGGCTACAATAGAATTATTGAGATCTAATAATTATGAATATTGTAATGAAACTGAAGTATCATCGTGTGTTTTACCATCAGTAGAGCCACCATTGTCTTCTACACTTATTTCATCATCATCAATATACAGGTAGATCTATAGTACTAATAATATCTCTACTTACATCTACATATCATGTGCTTTGTAACTTTCTCTTCAGTCCCTTTTCTTTATCTAATAGTTCACCTTCATTTTTGATTCCATCTTTACCGCTCTCTCCTTCTTTTTTATCAACTCCTTCATCCTTTTCTCCATTATCTACTCCTTCTTCTTCTCCAATAATTACTGTTTTATCTTCTCCAACTCAAAAAGAGGATGATGGTAGTGATGTCCTCATAATTCAAGTATCTTTAGCTCTTGGTTCAATAGTTGTATTAATCATAATCTTTGCAATCATTTTATGTGCATACTCTCTGTATAGAAACAAGGCCAGTATTAAGTTAGTGACTCCTCAATCCTTTAACAAGACAAACAACATAGGTAGACCATGAATATGAAATTGAATTAAATTTCATTTTATGACAGCAGGTGACATAACAAATGATGCTAATCCTTGCTATGGTATGAACAATATTAGCACAAGTGAGGATATTGTTGTATATGATGAGCTAAATAGTATTAGTGATTCACAACATATGATAACAAGTTAGTTTGACTAATAATGTAAGGACTGGGTTTATTTAATGTCATGTAGCTACTGAGGCCAACCCTTGCTATGGAGTAAGTAATGAAAGTCAGTTCCCTAGTGGTATAGAATCAGGAGATGATGATGACTATATATAATCAGTGTTATTTACATTTCATTCTTTATTTTAATAATGCAATGTTTACTTGTTTGTTCTTTAGAGCTTAATGTACAAACATAAACTAAATGTCCGTTTGAACTGTTGCATAAACTGCTTTGTTATTATTTTTAATGTGACAATTGATTTGTAAATAATACATAATCAAGGGCATATAACATACTCTGTCATGCAATAATTGTGATTTATACCTTTAACAACCCACTTGCTTGATTAACATGATCAGTAGAAAAATGTGTTAAAACAAACAATGAATGGTCTGATCAGTAGTACATACACAAGAATATTTCCAGCTATAACAGGTAAAGTGGTCTGATTGTCAAGTCATACAACAATGCCTCCTCGCCAATCTCCTTTTACTTCTTTGCTACTTTCTTTATTGACACTCATTTATCTTTCCCCCAGTATCGAAGGGCAGGGGCAGCCGACAACTTGTAATGTGAGACAAAATCCATTTATAGTTAGCCAGTCTACGACAGGAAATGCTCTTGGTGCTACCTTTTACATTGACCGCAATAATCCCTTTACTTGCTATGGGGTAATCACTCAATGGAGGCTCTGCTATAAGAGGAGTCCTGGAGCACTGTCTGATACTATCAGGATTGGTGTCTATCAACCTAACAGTGATGGAGATCATTATACAAGAAAAGGTCCCAATTATATTCACTTGCAGCTCCAGCGTAGTGACTGTCTCAATATTACAGCAGATCCACAGTTGATAGTCCAGGAAGGT